TAATTATACTTTAAATTAGCTAATCTTTCTCAAATAAAGTTTCAGAAAAGCATATTTTATTTTTGGAAGTTTTTTTTTTAATAAAGAGAATTACATTGCAATAAACATGTGCTAAAAACATGGCACTAAAATCAAATTTTTTACCAAAAAAAAAAAAAAAAAACCCTCCTCCCAGTCAATTTAAATTAGTTTTGAAATACAGAAAAGTATTTTACTTATTGGAAATACTAAATTTAATCTATTAGCTTAACTAAAATAAAAGCTTCAATAACCCTTAGGTATCACGAATCTGGAAGTATGATGTCAGCTGCATCCTTTTACCATGTTCATTTACCTGCCAACAAATTTGCTGAAAATTCAATATTCATTTTTAGAATAAAATCACACATTCTAGGTTTAAGTAGAAATTTAAACATAATTAGTGAATATAAAGAAAAAGAAAGCAGATTACCCCAAATTGACCCAATGTTTTTACATTAGTACATCAAATATTCTTTTTCAGCTATAATATTCCATATCTGGATCATTCAACAATATTACCCACTGTTATCTTAGATACAAATAATTGTTACAAATCTTATAAGAGATCTACACATGAGCATTTTTTTTTAAGTTCAACTTCAGTTTGTTTTTCCTTGAGAAAGTTTGTTGGCATGTCCAAGAATGCAGATTTTAAACATTTCTTTCACTTGTGCTTCTTTTCAGTCTCCTAGCCTAATGATTAATATATAAGCATGTTTTCATTAAGATATCTCATTAAATAATTTAGACAAATTTTGTCTACTTATTTTTAATGGGATCCTCTTGTAATTACAGACAAATTTCTTAGTATCCTTATTAAAGATATTATTATTCGTTACCTCCCTTGATGTTTGCTATGTGTTTACATCATAAAAGTGAAAAATCGTACACTAACCTCATTGTTTTTCACTTCACAAGTAAAAATTTAATTTTCAAATGAACACAATTTTTGTCTTAGAAAAAAAAAAAACAAGACCATGATGATGAAATTGTGCTAGTGTCAAAAGTACTCGGAATAAAATAAATATGCATCAAAAAGCTTATTCATTTATTTTAAAGTTAAAACATTTTGGATTTTTATTATTTCAAATTTTATTTTTAGTGGATACCTGATTTGAGTAGTCTCTCAGTTTATTTTAAACAGCACTTATTGTTCTTACTGGTCTGCTTATTTAAAGAAAATGTGGCCCCTGGTAGAATTCAAACCAGTATCCCTCTCCTTTGCAGGATAAACTAGTCTGATCTGACATGCTTTTACCAGTTACTTACAAAGAGCTTCACAATAAAGCAATGTTCTATTTTCGCCTTTAAAGCACACTCATTCATTCAGATTTTTCAATGTAACAAATTCAACTAGAATTTGAACTCAGCTGATTTCTCATTCTGAAATAATATCCATTACACCACGCACATATCCCTAATATTTAATAAATTATAATAAATTCTTCAGATTTCCTTCATTAATCAACTATATTTACATACACATTATGTATGTATGTATGTATGTATGTATGTGTATATATATATATACACACACACACACACATTTTTTGTTTATTAATTTATATATATATATATATATATATATATATATATATATAAAATTAATAAACAAAATTTGTCACTTAGCTGATTGATGTCATATTTAGCACCTCAACTTTGGAGTTTCATAGACAAACCATTTTTTGTAATTGTTCAGTCCACTCATCAGGAGGTTTTAACAATTGACTGCTGTTTCCCACATTTTTTTATTGTTTTTATACTAGGTTTAATGTAATTAATTTATGTGCTAGTTATATATATGAGAGAGTGCAACAAGCGTGAATAAAAAAGAAAAAACAAACTTACCAATCATGGAGTAATAAAAAGATATTCCTTTGTCCTTGGCTTACCAAACACCTAGTGCTTTAAGAACACAAGGTAAGTCTATAGCCTTGATAAATCTAAATCTTCATAACATTTATTTGAGCTCTCTTTGCCCTACTAATCTACATCCGTACAAAGAGCGAGATATCGAACATAAAAAAAAACTAATTTCTTTGTATTTTTCTACTCCTCATCAACCACTTCATGATCATCAAAATTTATATTATTACATTAACAGATGAAGAGGGCCTATGTGTTTTGAAAATCAGTATTTAGAATCCTGGCTTTTTGAATGTCAAACCCAAGAAAATTCTCAGCATAAAAAAAAAAAAAAAAAAAGCTTTTTTTGTATTCATGATGGTACACACTCGCATTGAGGAATCGGAAAGTCAAGTTTGAATTCCAGTCAAATCCATTACATTCATTTATGTGCTAATACCCTTGGGAAAGGAATGAATACTCTTCTCCAAGCTATGGGTAAATAGCAGGACAGACTGGATCCTATAGCCTTGGATGACAACTGGTCTACTGCGGAGAAAAAAATCTGCCTTGTCAGTCACGTATCAAAAGATACATGATCGCCTAAGCATGTATCACACATGGCACATAACTGACTTATGTTACAAAATAGAAATGTAACACCCCAACAGAATACATTAAATCATTTCTAATGAGTAGTACAGAGTTTCAGTAGAAGACAAGAAGAAAAGTAACTTCTAGCAAGTCACACAGGGCTCCAAAAATTAAAAAAAATAAATATAATGCAAGAAAACTAACTTTTATAATTTCATCTAACCAAGTTTTTGTTTAACCCAGCTAATTAATTTTATCCAATCAGATTTAATTCAAAAAAAAAAAAAAAAAAATGTCTGCACAAGTTGCCCGTTTTTATAAGTAACATGTCACTCACCTTGTACTCATTCTGGAGTTGGGAAATAAAGTTTGACAAAGGGAAAATATATGTAAGAAAATTGCTAAAATAATAAAGAAACAACATGTTAGTTCACTTTTTTCCAGTCAAGGAAAAAAATTTTAATCTATTTACAAAAAGAAAAGCACTTTTCCTGGAAAAAAAAAAAAAAAACAAAACAAAACAAAACAGTTCCTAAAAGAAAAAGATGTTGCTGTGTATCGTCTAGTAAAACCAAAAAAGAAAATGGAAAAAAAATGTGGTTGGAAAAAAATCTACGTAACATCTGCTGAGTAGAGTCTTCAGCCAGATTATTTTTTTTTTTTATTTTTTATTTTTTTTTTTTTTTTAAAGAAACCCACCCTCCCTATCCCATCATAACAGTATCTTTAATGCATTGTTGAATATAAGCTGGTTTTGCAATCCATTCCAAAATTATTTTGGAAGGGAGTTTTTCTTTTTATTTTATTCATTTCATTTGTCAATGAAGGAAAATGATTTTTTTTTTTTTTGCACTTATTTTGTACACATATTAATAGCAACCATTTTTCTTTCTTTCTTTTTTTTTTTTTTTTTTTTTTTTTCAAATATTTTATTGCCATTTCCTTTAGTTCTATCAGCTTTTCTTTTCTCATTCTCTCTCTCTTAAAAGAATTAAGTAGGAAGGAGGGAAAATTACAACCAATATTTTTTTAAAAATCTGTTGTATTTTGGGGGGAGTAGAGGGAGTGTCAGTGATAATCTTTCCAAAAATTTTAGCTTTTTTTGTTTCCAGCAAATTTGCCGAAAAAGAGGCAAACTGAAATCACTATCAAATAAAGTCATGAGTTACATTGAGGGATCCTTGTTGCCTTTGCTGCTCCTGGTAAATATCAACAATTTCTTTCTTCATCTCCTGAACATGCATTTGTTCCTGTCTGTAGTAGTAATTGTAGTAGGGATAAATTTTATCAATGGAATGCTGACCCCATTCCAAATGTCTTTAAAATCATTCAAAAGATTTGTGAACAATGAAGTTCCTCAAGCAATCACACACAACAAATCTCTCAAACGTCTTTGTCCAGAAATTCTGTGATGTTTTGTTTGAAATGCCCAAAAAAAGTAACCTTGTTCCTACTTTCATACACACAGACACACACACAATCTTTATATATATATATATATATATATATATATAAACATATAGATACCCATAATACAAATGTATGTAGAAACATACTCATGCCATTCGGCTTTTCTTTGTTATTTTCTTCATTGTTTAATCTACAATAGTAGACATTAACATGTGAACATAATCCATGTACTTACATATATACACACAAGCGTTGTTGTATGCGCAACCACATGTATGAAAAAATCCACATACACACATATGCACACACACACACGAATATTGCTGCACACTTTCAGTCTGCACATAGCATACTGTTTCTTGATTAAATTAAAAAAAACAGAGAGAAGCATGAATTTTAGCTTCCATGCAATGAACACTACACAGACCTGATCTAGGCATGTGCCTCTCCGTAAACATATTCATAGCATGTGTTTAACTCTACTGAAGTAAGAGCCCAGTTTATAGAGTTATTATCATCATTGTTTAGAACTCTTAGAGAAAAATGTCTATAACAAATAATACTCTTCAGAAACGATCCTGTAGAGAAATGACCACAAGTCTTTCCATGAAGCACAGTTGGTTAAAGTATCACTTCTTTCAAGAGATTTGAAATCAAATATGTAATTTAAAACTGTCAAGTTATCTCTTCTGGCATTTGTCTCTCCATAAATCAAAAATGCAATATGACTAATGCTAAAAATACTGTTAAAAAAAAAAAAAATGAATTTATCCCTTTCTTGGAAGTAAATTAATTTTTTTCTGCATCGTAACACTGAAAGAGGAACTTGGCATCATCCCAAATTGGTTGTGACCATCAAAAATGAACATGTTACCATCTGCTGAGACCATATCAGACACATATGCACTTTTTATCTACAGACAAGAACATTCACTCTGCAACAAACATCGTGGATGGCATGTATTTTTATGCTTGTCTCTCTGGGATTTAGATGCACATAGAGCATTGACCAGTGAATAGACGTAAATAAGTAGACGTGTCAAGAGACACTATTTACAATTTAGTAATGTGTACATGCATGTGTAAGCTCGTGTATAAGATAGAGAAGGGGAGAGAGAATGCTGGCATTGTTAGTGAGCATCAACAACATGGACTTGCACATTTGCAACGATACTGTGGGATCCTTCTGGAATTGTGGTGCCAACTACTGTTTGTTGAGATGGTAATAGAGTTTGTTCTGGGATTGGGGTATACGTGGACAGACGAGTTTGGGGTGGTGTGGGACTGCGGCTACGGCGACTGCAAATCATGGGTGGGGGTGGTATGACAGGGGCCTTTGAACTTGGGTATGTGGGTGGTTTGAATCGATCCTTTCCTATAAGTAGGGGTTCCAAGCAGGGAAGGCTGGCATGCTCACTGTCTTCGTGGGGGGTCATTGTGCTATAGCCATGGTCACTGTCACCTCCTGCTGGTCGGCGGTATGTTGTATTTACACGGTATGGAGAAATGCTGGCCGGATTTTCAAATGGTGCTAGAACAAAATTGGTGTGTCCTAAAAATAAATAAATAAGCAATAAAATTAGGCTAAAGAAAATAAATGCAATCAAATATTTTACAAGAATCATCCCATTCTGGTTATATATATATATATAGCACAAAAGCATTTTTTACAGTGGACACATGTGTAGATAAAGAAGGGAATAAAAAAATTGTCACATTTTATCAATATAGCCTTGGGTATGAGACAAGCCTGATCTCACTGCTTTCAGTGTAATGATATGGTAGAGGGCAAGAGAGCAGATCTTATTGAACTCAACAAATACATATTTATATTTGCCAACAAAATTGGGAGAGAGGGGATTAAATCCTTATTTTATTGCAAGAATAAAGAAGAATTGATTGATTTGTTTTTTATGGCTTATTAACCCTTTCTGGATTATTTAAAGTTGAAACATATCTCAGATTGTAGGGGGTTGATTAGAGTATCTGGTGATCTCAAGTGAACCCCTTCCAAGTACTAACCAGGCTCAACACTGCTTAACTTTTGTAATTTAACTTTTGCGATCATTTAGTTTGTAAATCAACTACCTTCATAAAAATAAAGTTCTGCAACAAAGGAGTGTGCTTATACATATAACAGTTCTATTCTATAAGCAATGTTTGCCTTGATTCCTGACCATTGATGATCCCTTTTTTACTTATTCACAACACAATACATAGAAAATTTATCTCAAACATTGAAACATTTGGTGTAACCCCAGGTATGAAAAAAATAGACAAGAAAAATGACTTACCAGTGCCAATTTCCTCATGTGGCTCTGGTTCTTCTGTTTCATAATAATAATGTGACATTCGAGCCTGATTCTCTGGCAGTGATGTCACATATTGGTGGGAAGTGCGGTGTACGTGGTGTCGATAACAGTAGACACTGAGGGCAAGAACTAGGAATATTCCCATGATTCCTCCTGCCACTGGACCGACAGGTGTTGTTTTAACATTGACTGGTTCAGAATCCAGACTCACTGCATAAAACAGAAAACAGGTTTTAGGCACAAATAAAGAGAGTTATTTTTTATTTGTGTTAACATATGAAACCAGTGTATAAGAATTAAATTTAAAAATGTTATTAATGTCATATTTTTGCTAACTAGAATTCAAAGTGATAAATGAATCATTTGTCTGTATAAGTAGATACTTCTATATACATGAAAGATGTAATGAGTGAAATATCAGCTTTGAGTTATTCTGAGAATGGCATTTCTAATCAAGATTTTACTAAAAGTACAGCAGCTAAAAAGCCTTTTAATAATTTGAGTAACTGAGAAGATAGAAAAATACATTTAAAATCCCAAACTGAAGAAGATAAATGACATGCAAAGATCTTAAGTTTTAGCTGACAGGAGTTAGAATTTTGGAACATGAATCAGTATCCAAATTGGAAAAAGACATTTTTAATGAACTGAACATCAATAAAAATGTACAGGTTCTGATCCCATCTTACAAACTTTGATGCTCTAAGTAAATAGACAAGAGAAAAAAAAGAAAGAAAGAAAAGAAAAAAGAAAAAACAAAGAAAAGAAAAAAGAAAAAAGAAAAAACAAAGAAAAGAAAAAAAAGAAAAAGAAAAAAGAAAGAAAGAAAATAACCTATTAACAACTTTATTCTATTTATCATGCACAGAACATTTCCTTTTCAGTGTGTACAAAGTTACTACATGTCAGATATCACAATTGTCATATCTAAAAAGTACCTCTGATAATTCACAGTGTAGTGTTGAAATTATTGAATGTCTATTAATATGCTTTAACTGTTACATTAGTGACAAGTCAGCTTAGCATGTAAGTTTTATATATTTAGTTAATTTGCATGTGTCTCAAAAGTGTCCTATTTATCTAGTTGTTTGATTTGTTTATTCATTGTAAATATTTCAATAATGCTCTTCCTTTCAATATTTGTTTTGCTTAACCCTGCCAAGAAATCTGAAGGAAGATGCTGTGTGTTAGAAGCACTGCATTGTTCTTGAATCCCTGAAAATGCAGCACGGTGGGCAACTGGTAATTCTCTCAAAGAACAACAGATCTCAGGGTGGCTTTCAGACCTTAACATCTTTGTGATATTTTTTATCAAATGCTGTCCCTACCTATGAAAGTACATTGCCAGTTCTGACACCATTCCCAAAATGTAGAGAGAGAAAAATAAAAAATAAATAAAGGACACACTTTGGTGTATGTTAATAACCCTTCATATACAGACTGACTATTGTGTGTATAAAGTCAAAATATATGAAATATAAATTCTTAACAATTCTTATGTATGGACTTGATTGCATCACATGAAAAAATAACCTTTCTAAAAAAAAAAAAAAAAAAAAAGTTGAGGTCTTTCATAACTACATTATGCATTTAATTAATTATTTAAGTTAAGAAGATCAAAATAACAACATAACAAAGCTTCTCACTTTCTTTGATAGAATTAAGAGCAAATTACTTTTTGCACATATTAAATGGTCAAAAATAGAATTCTCAAAAATATCCCGAGAGATATATTTCTAGCCAAAGAAGAGGTCAATTCAGATAGAGAATAAATATACTCAGTTGGTGAAAATCCAATAATTGGTCCCATATAAACAAAGCCACACTAGATTGAAAGATTTGGAAAAGAAGTCATGTGAGCTCACAATCTGCCACAGGTATATAATAACATGATGAGATACTGACAGGACTTAGAATTAGGCAATTTGTATAGCAACTCCACAGCTCTGGATATAGACAGATACAGGAATAATATGGTGCAGCTTACATTGTTGCAACAACTGGTCCCCGTACGGTGTCTGGGCTCCCAGTATTCCTCCAAAACAAACACTCTGGCTGGCGCAGTAGGACTGAGACAGTCTTGTGTTGACTCCATCTTTTTCTTCCATTTCACACCATTCACAGCCAAGTACACCAAGACAGGACCTAGGGACACAAAAGCACACAAAATTAATGAGATTCTGAGATTAAAAAAAAAACATTAAACTTGATTTGTTTGACAGTTATGATTTTTTCTTTTTTATCATTCATAAATTAAATTTATGAAATACACAGGAAAGATGAATAGAAATTTATGCCACAAACGCAGTATTATCAAAGATTTATCAGTTTGTATAAAATAGGATTTTTTTTCCTCAGATAGTTTTCATTTTAATTTTGTAATAAAAGAATTTTTAAGAATATTTTAGTAACATTTTAAAAATAATTCTAACTAATCTAATTCTTTACAATAATGTCTCATAAAAACTTCAACAATTTTCTGAGAAAAAATAGGAAAATTAATATTTTAAATGAAAATGTTTTTCTGTTTAATTTGCAAAAATACAGGTGAAATAGAAGAAAACAATATGAGAGAAACTTTAGAGACTTTAGGCATAGCTGGAGTTATTGCAAATAAAACCAATTTAATCATAAACACTGAATTCATAAACCTATAATTAATACTGGATCTTTCGTAAACTGGAATTTTTTTTTTTTTGTTTTTTTAAAAAACTATTTAATACTAGATTTTTTTTAGAAGCTTATAATATCAGATTTTTATTTCTATAATTAATACCAGATTTTACAGTGAATATTGTTTAAATATACAAATTAAACAAAACTAGAGAGACATTTTATCATTTCAACACATATAAGAAGCATTTACAATATATGTAATTTAACATGCATTTTACAGAGTACAAAAAAGTACACAAAATTAGTTTTAAAAGGAACTTAAGTTTTGGTTTAAGGTTTGTTTTCTGTAACTGATCTGAAGATTATTATTATTATTATTATAATATTTATTATAATATTATTTATAAAGTGTAGCTATGTTAAGTGAAATGTTGATTTAATTATTTTGATAGGTTTTTCTCCATAAAAGTCTCCCAACTGAACCTTGATTTTCCCACCACATCTGCTGCCATATTCGTTTTTGTACCAACTGAAATAAAATCTATCTTTTTCTTATTTCCTAAATGCATTTAATGCTTATTGCAATGAATAAAGTGTAAATTAGTTTTAGAGGATAATAAATTAAGTGCCATTAGAGACAAGATTGTAAAATGTGGTTCCTAATAGAATCAAGATGAATTTTGTCTTATGTCAAAAACTTTCAGCTAATCAGGAAGGAACTTGAAGCACATACATTTTTGTTTTCCGTTCATCACATTTGGGAAGATAACACTGCTGCAGTTTTTCGGTAAGGTCCAGGCTAACTTCTGCCAATTTGCCTTCTTCTGGATAACGCAGACAGCTAGGATTACTGCAAGACACACACAAACTTTGGCATTTTAATTCCTTATTTATGATCACAAAATGCAACAGGTTTCTACAACAATGTTAAACAAAATAAATTCTTAATATGAAGCCAGGGAGTTATCTGAATCTGATGTTCAAAATCATCCTTTGAGAAAAAAATAAATGAAAATAACTATTTCGGGAGAAAATGGAAAAGTTTTTCGGGAACATTATCAAGAACAATGGTTAAATAAAATCATCCTTTGTTTTGACAAATAAAAAAAAAAACTATCCTTTTTATCTCTTTCTGTAAATTTAGATATAGAAATATATTCTGGCCTGGATCTCATTGTATCCTCCAGTGAAGTAAAGCTCATATACAATGAATAGAAAAAGAAAAGCAATATATATCAAATATAACTATACATTAATTTATCTTTTATTCTCTTGTTTATAGGCAACCAAGAGCTGTTTCCTAATGAGAAGTCAAAGTATTGAAGTATTGCTTTCAATGTACAGGAATCTCTGGATTAATGCGTTTGTCATTAATGCGCTAAAATGTTTAGATACTAAAATTTGATTCGTACATTGATATTTTTACAGTTACCAATTAATTAAAAATTTTCTAAAATTGAAAATGGGTAACTATTTTGTTTGTCAAGTATTACATTATCCAAGTAAATTACAATAGTTTTCAAAAAAAAAAAAATTGAACGGTTATAAATAGATAAATTTTATAATATAAGCCCATAATAAAAATACATATTTCAATATTTGTCTCTATTAAATCTTTTTGAATATTTTGATATTTTTTTTTTTCATGTTTATTTTGAAATTTCTGATTTTTTTGTTAAAAAAAAAAATGAAGATTTTAATTAGATACAGAAATATGCATTTCCTATGGAAAGATTATAAATAAAATTTTCAAGTAAAATACCAATGATTACAATATATTTGGAAAATATGAAGGGGCAATTTCTCAGTACTGCCAATTATATGAAGAACAGAAGAATACCATGCAGTAAAGCATTCTAAATAAGTTTTTCATAAAAAATCGGATTAATAAACATTATTTCATAACATTTTTATTGTATCTTCTTATTTGTACCTATATTTTAATAGAAAGTATGTAAATTAGAATTTTATTGTGAATGAGACTAAAATTTGAAGTACAAATTACATAATTTCCTATAGGTTATTATATTAGATTAATGTGTTTTCAATTAGTGTATATCTTTTAATGTACACATAAGCCATACTAATCAACGGATTCCTGTATTGGATGAGAGGCCAATCGCATATCACTCATAACCACTTAAACTTTCAAAAAGAATATTTTTCTAAACAAGGCTGAGTTGTACATGAGCAGGCATCTATTGAATTATTTTAAATATTTGTCTGAATTTCTGGGATGAGGATTTATCATTATTTACACTATTTAAATTCAGACTATTGTCCTTGTGGAGGAAATAGTACACCTCTAGTGACTATATGAACTAGTCTATAACTATAAATAAAGAGTTCCAGGTCAGACGTAAGGAGAAAAGGAAGCCGTTTGGAGTCAGTCTTCAGACTAAGTAATACAGGCGTCACGACAAGTTGCTGAAGCATTACTTATATTATAAATGCTACAAAGCACATTATAACAGTGACAACAAGGGATTCAAATCTCAAATGATTTATAACTGTTGTGATGAGGATTTAGAACTCTTATGACTTATAACAGTAATAAGAATTCAGGAACTCGTATGAGTTGTAGCTACGAAGCACATTATAACAGCCCTCATCTTTGTTGTTGTTGTTATCACATTTCAGCTGTTGTGACCTCTGGCCTTCATCAAGTGTATATCAATCCGGGTAACCTACCGTGAATTCCAAGCTGAACTCTTTATTTAATCTATGGGAGTAGACTGTTCTTGTTCCACTGCCCATGTCTAGAGATATCTTGTCTAGTTCTCATTTTTAGTATTGCCAAGTATTGCTTGCCTGTTTCTACTGAGTTCAAGTACATTCTGCCCGCCCCAAGGATTGAACTCACAATTATTATATCACCAAATTCACAAACCAATGATTTAATCCACTAGTCTATTGTCTTGTAGGACTAAAAATTTATTTAAAAATGTATTTGAAAAAAAAAATATATTTATGGAGTTATACAAATTTTCTTATTAGTAATTACGGGAATGGACAGAAGATAATCATAGAAAAGTTTTGAGGGTTTCTTTTTTCTTTTCTTTTTTTCTTTTTGGAGGGGGGGGGGTGGATTTCAAAAGAAAATAAAGTACATTGGATAGGACATGGGGCATAGAGTAAAAGGGAATAAAGTGAGTTAACAAAAGAAAACTTACTCATCATCTTCTTCTAGTAATCCTCCAGTGCAAAAATTCATTTCTAGTGGGCATTCACAAGGACATTCACATTCACTCTGTTCCATTCTGTGGCAGTTGAGGCAAAGACGATCAATCTAAAACAAAGTCATTAGATTATTTCGATGTGAAATGTGGCTCAAAAATATTAAAGTACAATTATTTAATAATTGATCTAGGAGATTTATAGCAAATACAATGCCTTTATAGCAACAAGTATGTAGGCTTCCTCCTGCAAACTATTTCTTTAAAAAAAAGTATCAAATAAAATAAGATCTGAAACAAACTTTAACTAAAATTAATTTTAAAAAAAGAAGACATAAATCATGAACACCAGCAACACAAGAAATACCCACATTCACAAAGAGAACAAGGGCATTTTTTTTATTCAAGACAATAGATTAATTCTAGTATCGACTATTTTAATGAAATCACTACAAATAAATCCAATCGATAAACATTAACAGAAATAAAAAGAACTCAAATCAAATTTCACCAACTGAATTATTTGTAATCACAAAAATCAAAAAGTCAATAGAATAATAATATTTATTAAATTATCACTTATTTCATTTCTGAGATATGTTCAGCTAAACTTACCATACTGCAAGGGCAGAAAGCTGTGGCTGTATCACAGGTGTGGTTAACAATTCCTAGAAAAGCATTTGTACCTGGGATTTGAGTGATCTGAAATTTAAAAAAAATTAAAAGCTTACACTTGGTATTCATGTCAGTTACAGATTAATATGAAAATTAAATATGTTAAAGCATAAATAGTGACAGTCTGGTGTACTGTTGGAAAAGCTGGTGTCATTGGTCCTTACTTTTTTGAACACCAAAATGGAAATGCTGTTACTATGAACTGCGAGCATTACCTCAAGATGATAAACAACTTCTTTATGCCTGGGTTACAATAAAAGCGTATTTCTATCCGATGTGTGTGGCTTCAGCAGGATGGGGTGATGACCCACACAGCCAGACAATTAATGAACGTTCTTCACCCTCTCTTCGGTGACTGCCTCATTTCCAGGTATGCTGACACCCCTTAGTCCCTTGATTTGTCCATGTGTGATCATATCTTGCGGGGAAACCTCAAGACATGTGTGTATGACTATAAGCCCCATACATTGGATGATTTGAAGGAAGCTTTTCATGTGTAAGTCATCCAAAACAACAGAGCAATAATGGAAAGAGTGGAGGCTAACTTCCAAGAACACCTTCACAAATGCATCAATGAAAACAAACACCACATGTGGAATGTTTTTACCATGTTTAATTTTGTCAAATGCTAATTCAATACAAACATATTGACCTCAATAAAAATTTTTTTGAAGCTAAAATTAATGATGATATTAATTTTTCAAAAACACCTGCCCTCTCTGCCTCACCCTGTTCTATAAAAGATAAAAGGTAAAAAAAGAAAGTATAGCTGTGGCAACTATGGGACACAGACATAGAATTCAACACTGAATGATTGTTGGGCCAGAAAGATGCAAAAATGCCACCAAAGTGGCAACAGCTCTAGGTTTCTCTTCAGCAAGAACAGCAAAAGCATACCAGGAATATGTGTGAATACTGGACAAGCATCAGCAGCACATAAAAACTGTGGGCACCCACAAGAGATGTAAGAGCAGGACCATCAGTGGCTGAGAAGGAAGAAAAACATTGCATCAAATTACATTACAATTATCAGTCAACATACATACACTGCATTCCACAGTCATTGACCAACAAGAGTACCATTACTGATAGTACTGTACTTCATCTGGTTCTGGGAATCTCACCATTAGATCCTGGAAGAGTGCCACATGGACAAATGAATCATGTTCCCAGCTCTTTTGACTAAGTTTGGAAGGAAACCACATCAGTCTAGACTGTCAGCAGGATATTGTGCAAGATGATGTGGCTCTGTAATGGTGTTGACCGTGTTCTATTGAAGTTTACAAGGACTTCTAGTGAAAGCAGAATTTGTTTCAAATTTCTTGGTTGTAATGGTTTGCCTCATCAAGATATCTCTTTCATTTGACATGAACATTTAACATGAAACTGGTTTCAGGAATATTTGGCAGACTTACAGTTACTCCGATGATAACCATCTCAACAAAAATACACACACCAGACTGAAAACCCATTGAACATGTATTGTACATGTTGCAGACCCCCCCCCCACCTAAATTCCCTGCAGTCATGTTCAACAAACACAACTCGGTTCTGTATAGCCCTATATGTCAACATAAGTATACCTCCATCATGCTATATGATATAACTGTCATTATTCAGATGATAGGAGAAGCAATGTGTTATTAATAGCTGTTTTTAATGTTTCAACACTTCAGTTTATATTCCCATTCAAGGCTATTAAAATCATACATTATTGTAATACCACAATTTTTTCTATAAGTGGGAAATACTTTCCTATCTCTTAACTCTTTTCTTCTGCATAGATTTCAACCTAATAAAACTATTGCACAAGCATTGATCATGACCCAATTTTTCCCACCCCAAAAATTTAGTCTTCAAAACTTAACTTATGCACAAATATACATTTTTATTTTATTCTTATCTTTTAACACTCTGTATATGACTTCATTTGTGGTAGAATAAGTTTATCCTGCCACTGAAGGTAACGGATCCCTGAACAATAATGTGTTTGAATTTAATAATTGTCTTGTCCTACTATGGCAACAAAAAACAAGTTTGAGTGAAATTAACAATAAGGATACTGCAATTGAGAGGCCTTGAAAAAGAATGCAATGGAAAAGGATTTAATATTAATAATGCAGAGTGCTAAAGGTTAAATCAAAACAAGCAGAACATCAAGTAAAATAATTTTTCAAATGCATACCTGATACCGGGCACAGTGTTCACCATGAACAAGGTTTGTAAGCACTCCATCCAAACTTGTGTTAAACTGAAAAACAATTTTGAATTTTAAAAGATAATTTCAGAAATAAATTTTTAATGAAATACAATTTTTGTATCACTTATACAGAGAAAGGAACTCTGAAGTAGAGAAACTTCATAAATTTATATAACATTTACTTCACAAACCTTATAGCTTGTGTATGTGTATATACACAGAAACATACACACTCCCTTAAAATATATTTCTAGATATATTAAGTTGGAGGTTTCCTTAGTAACTGATATAATTTTGGTATATTGAAGTGGTAAGTTTTCAAATCTAGATAAAGCAATGCTGACTTTCACAGTAGACCCATCCTGACTTAGAAGATTAGCACTAAAATCTTCATATTCACTCCCTGTTGTTCTATTTGGCTTTATGACAGACAGAGGTTAGTAAATACCTTCATAAATTTAAAGTTATGAGAAGTTGAAGATACTTGAAATATTAAACAGTGTTTACCCTAATATTACAGAATATTTCTACTAATAATTTTATGTTTATTAATACAGAATGTGTCACTTGTACACTTGCAAATGAGTTACAGTGAGCAGTAGTAAAAAATATGTTTAGAAAAAGATGAAAGCAGGTAAAAAAAAATACAAAAATTTCAAAAAGATTTGCTTGTAGATAATTAACAATTGACTAGGAAACAAGATTTTTCTGATATTTGATATTTATTCCTATCATCGTTAGGTAAACATCAAAATTTCTTGTTTGTTAAATAAATATCAATTACTTACAGACAAGTTATTCTGATGGTTTCTTTCAACCTTTCTTATTTCTTATGGAGAACATTTTGAAAAATAGACCAGATATTAAAGTTGATTAACATGCTTAAGATAGATTAACTCAGTAATATCTTAATTAAAATGATGGCAAACTTACATTATAAAATCGTTGAACTGTACGGTCATTGTATCGATTACAGAGTTTCTTCTGGACAAAGCCACGATGATTGAGTATATCATTAGCAATTAATGGTTCCTGAAGAATAAAAATAGCAAAAAGAAAAAAAAAATGAAATGAAAATCAATAATTTAGAACAAAATCACACTATGGATGAAAAGAGATTTTTTGAATTTTTTTTAGATTTTCTCTAGTTTAATATTGCCCACAAATCAATCTTAATTCAACTTGTTATTTTACATGTTCACTGTAATAAGAAATTAAAATTTCATATTGGCCATCTCTTATGAAACATTGCCTTTGACCTTCAACATGATGTTTTAAATGGTCAGCTCTTCAGCTTTCATTCCTATCTTCCTTAGATCACACATTAGCAAACTTTCATGTGTAACTTTGAAGGCTACTAAATGTGACATTCACCTGAAGAAGGTTAGAGTGCTGATCAACCAATCCATATTGAAAGCAACAATGAAGATACAAATTAATGCATAAAGTTTTGAGATAAGCTATTTTTAATTACACTAATCAGATTAGTATCCAAATCTCTATTAATTTCACAATATCACTTAAAACATTGTCATAAAAGTAACAAAGATAAGATTAATATTAATAATGGATATATTAATAACAATGTTTCATCTCCAAAATTCAAACAATATTATCAATAGAACACATCAGTTTGAGTGTAATGATATAAATAACAAAGGCAACAGTTTTATTGAATAATGAAAATATAAATTTGTTTAATGCACCTCAGAACACTTACTGTCATATAAGGTGTTTTTTTTTTCCAAAAATTACCTCCAAAAATCAAAATGAATCCTACACCTTCATAACTGGCTTACCAATACTCAGCTAATACCAATGTGACACACTAGGCTCCTGATGATACCAAAATTAAATTATATACAATTCTAAAAATTATTTTGATTTATAATTATAATTTATCATTAAAATATAAATTAAGTTATATATCTGGGCACTTTGACATGTGTAATGGTTAGCAAGCTTGTCTTGCTGGATCAATTACAACTAAGTAGTGAGTTCGATCCGCACCAGGTGCCCCCTACTTTCAACTTTGTGCCACATCTAGGCTACACTTAGTAAATCACTATAAAAGCCAATATGTAAATATGAATATATCAATTGAATATTATTTGTTTTTTTCCTAAATATTCTTTTCCAAATCAGGTTTATGTTATATGCCAGTGCATGTTATAAAAGGAAATACAATGTGGTTATTTTCTATATGAAATAAATGATTTGTAAACCTTCAATATTTTTAAATTGCTTAGTACACAAATAATGATAACCAATATCAGAAAAAAAAAGGAACGAAAAATGGGGAAAACAAATTTTAATACTAACATTTTTTGTGTAAAGAAATTTTTTAGTTTTTCTTTAATGTCATTTTCTTTACATGGAAAGTAATAGAAAATATATCGGGTATTTTATTCATTTTTATTACATTTCAGACATTAATCCAAAATATTTTACATTATACATTAGAGAAGTCAGTAATATTTCCTTTTTTACACCATTTACATTGTTTGGTCTGTCGTTCTCATCTTTGTTATCATATTCTCAATGTTTCAGCCATTGCATGCTCTGGCCTCTTTCTGGTGATTGAAATTTTGAACAGAATCCTTTATTTCATCCACCAAGGTAGATTGTTCTAATTCAACATGCCATACCTCTTCCAAATATCTCAGTTTCAGTTATTTCTCTTTAGTAACTCAACTGTTCAAATTTTTGTTCACCTCTGCTGTGGCCAGGTATTGAACTCACAACTCTTTGGGTCAAATCACTGGATTACTTCAACCAACAACTTTATCCACTTGTCCATGTCAATCACCTGAAGATGGCCAGAGCGTACAATGGCTGAAATGTTGTGATGAGGACAACAATTCAAACAATGTAAATAGTTACAATACCTCATCTCAGAAATATCGACAGTAATATTTCCGTTTTCAATTATAAGGTTTCATATATTTTAAATATTTGAGTGTCTAAAGACAAAAAAAATTAAAAAAAAAAACAGTAAATTATGAAATCAAGACAAAATTAAAATTGGGTAAGAGTAATGACAAAATAATGCTTAAGCTATTTACCTTATGTGTAATGTGCTGTTGTTCAACTGGACCCTTGCGATTTGGTTCAATGAGATCAGGGTGTGAAATAAGATAGCCACTGTCATCCATGATAAAACATCTGTAAAAGACATATCATCAAATTCAAAGAGCCAATCTTTAGATACCAAGCAAATATCATGATTAATACATAAAGAAAACTCACCAGAAATTTGCTAAGATAAAAGCCACATTTGAAATTGTAAAAGATTTTTTAACTTCACATTTACAATAATCTATAACTGACAAGTCTCTCTCTCTCTATCAAGGCTGCTACTTTTTTATGCCACAATCTAAGCAGGTATGGTAAAGATGGAAGACTGAACTGTCTGTTCACTTACTCACCCATTTATTCTATGCTCACAAATGTATCCTGCAAGCTAGACGTATGGTGCTAAGACATAATGCAGAAAGAGTCATTTTAGAGTGAAAGTTTTATAAACAGTCTGAACAAGGATTGAAACTTGATCCCCTAATTCCATTTTCTGAGCCAATAATCATTAACTAGATTATGTAAACTTGTTGAAAAAATTTTTATAGAAATGAAAAGTCAGCTGCAGTGAAGAAAGCTAAACCTGCTTACTTGTTCCTAGAACTGCCAAACTCACAAAACATTTGTTACTCTTTAATGAACAGACAAATCCATGAACCAATATTCTAGAGAAATCTATTAGCCTACAAGATATTTTGCAAATAACTCACCGTACAGTTGGTTGTTCACAAGCTGGAACTTTTTCTGCCAAAATTTTATAGAAATATCCCAGAGTTACATCCATTCCCATCACAGCAGCAACTTTATCTTGAGGACTGTGTAAAGCAGCTCTTCTGAAAAATACCAATCAGAAAAAAAAAACGTTGAATGAAATTATATGGAATGATATGAATTAGTGAGTTTATGATTCAGTAGAAATGGGAAAAATTAATCAAAATAAGAAATAAAAAGAATTTACTGACATCTGTATAATTGTATAAAACGTAGTTACAACTGATCATGTAACCAATATATCAATATAATTAATAATCAGACTGTATGAGATTCTCAGTGCTTTCTTGAGTTCTCAAAAACATAAAAATATATGTTGAGTACCTCACTACTATGACCTTGTGTCAAACTAAGTTTAGCTTAGTAAATAACTTTATTTAACAAATACATACATTTTATATGGATTATAGCCATATCACGTTGAAACATTGGTTCTCCTATGATCACCGAAGTTAAGCAACATCAAGCCTGGTCAGTACCCAGATAGGTGACTACTTGGGAGTACCAGGTGCTGTAAGCTTGGATATGCGGATAATGTAATGGATAAATCAAAGAGCTGAGTTTCAATTCCAGTTGAGCTCATTATAATTACATTTGCAAATAACCTTGAGCAAGGTATTAATCCATCTTTTCTTCTCTCAGGCTATGGGTTAACTAGTAGGGCTTGTATCAGTAAATCATTATTATCTCCAAAAAATTCTTACAATCTGAAAATATTTTCTGGCTTTAAATAACCTACAAAAGGTTGATTGATAAGCCATAAAAAACAAATCTATCAATTAATCAATCAATACATTTTATATATTATTTCCATGTTCCTTCTCTTATGTATATAAGAGTACTCTATTTTAAGTTCCTTTAAAAGAGCTTTTAACTAAGTTAAATGAAAATATTAAGAAGAAATTGAAATCAATCATGGAGAAGAATCTACAGATTATAGAATTTAAGAACACAATTTAATAATTAAAAGGAATTAAATTATTTCAAACTGTTGGCATGCTGATACACTCCTTTTTAAAAATATCTAAAGAACTTGGGAATATTCTTAAAAAGAAGTCACCTATTTTGAAAACACGTTGTAAATGGGTATAAGAGAGTGCTGAACGTTCTTGGTCCAACTAACTTCTCAAAAATCTATATATTAATGACTAAACATCAGTGATTTGGGGCTGACCAAGAACTTTTCAGCACATCTGTGTGTGTGTGTGTGTGTCTAAAAGACAAGTTGATATATACAAGGGTGAATCAAAATGTAATGCAATTTGTTTTCTTATATAAAAATGAATGAACATAATCAAACATATCATACATCAAGATATAGCTATGCATCACAGGTTCATATCCCTACTTCTCATCACCTTTTTCAATGGTAGGGTTCTAGCTACGAATGAGGAGGGCATGTATCACAGTGTCATAAAACTTAGCTGGCTGCTGATGTGGGCAATTCCTTACAGCAGTTTTCACTTCTTCATCACCACCTAACTTAGCACCCTCAAACTTTCATCTCTTTATCCAGTGAAAGAGGCACTGAGGGGTAAACATTATGTTTGATTGTGTTCTTTATTTCTTATATAATAAACAAATTGCATTATTTTTTGACTCACCATTATATGTAAATATCAATCAAGTTTATGTCATATGCCCATATATGCTTTGGTATCTCTCTATTACCTTTATAATGTGCGTATGCTTTTTTATCTCAATTGTCCACAATTACTTTGTCAAAGTTTAAATATTTAGGTCTGTTTACCGAAATTAGTGATTCTTATTTCTGTCATTTAGTTAAGCACAAAAAATGTTAGATACAAAAGAAATTGTAATGTGGAATGATTGTCTGCATGACATTTTTTTTTTGAATATTTTCAAAAACAAATACATGCAGAAGTGTTGTTCATAGGATATCTTAAATATAAATTGTGTAAATAAAGTAACATTGAGTAATGTAAAGGAAAATTCCAGAGAGAAAGGAAACAAATGCACTTACTTTCCTTCAAATATTGTATGGCTCACAGTGACAATGTAACCTGCACCACCAACATCTAGATAAGGTGCAGCAAGTGTGACAAAACCAGGGAAAGCTAAGGCTCTTTCAAACCAAGCTCTCTTTGTTGGATCATAGGTTTTATCCATCAGAGTTCCAGGGTAAACACGGAAAGAGCCACTTGGTGTTGCAACATATCTATAAAATAGCAAATGGCAAAAATTAAAACATTTTTGAAAGTTTTGAATTTATTCATCATTTATTCTTGTAATGGGAGTAACATCATTCCAGAATAGCTTCTTGCTATGTAAAAGTTGGTCCAAACATTTTAGACAAGATTGCAAATTTCTTTTTTAAACATGTCTGAAGTTTTAATAAAAAAAAATATAATATTTTTTGCAAACTATTACTTGAAATTAATTAATTCTCAACTTTCTCATTCCTTAGCAAGCCAAATAAATGCACAATAGGATTTACTGAAACAAGAATATGCATATGATCAATTTTTTTTATAACACTTTTTCTTTCCTATTAATCTGGAGTTTGTTGATACAGCAGAAGAGAAAAATGCTTAATTCCCAAAATGTCCCCTTACCGTCTGATGATATAATCATTAAGTTGACTGGTATGGAAACGACGAACCCATTCATTATTTATTCTTGCAGTGGCAGCAACATCATTTCGGATTTGGTCCTAAAAGAAAATGCAAATGAATTTCAGTGTAAGTGAAGAGTTTTTTTCACAAGCAACAATTAATTTGACTTTTTATCACTGGAAGCATGACCACTTTTCATTATTACACAAATTATTTCTAATTACTTTCATCTTTTTGTTGCTTGTTTTCTCAAACTTCTGCTAGCTGTGGAAAATACTTGAACTCGTTTCACGTGACAACAGCTTCAGATCAAAGATATAAATCCTGCTTTAGTAGTATATTTAAAGCATTTTCACATGATATAACAAGCATGTAAGGTATGGGATGTAAGTTTAAGATGAAGTTACTTTTTATTTCAAATTCATACAGTTTAATATAAAAAAATAAACAAAGTGAAAATATGATATAAAATAATCAAAAAATTAGTCCAAACTAATAACGAGAATAATGAAAATCAAACAATCTCAACAAGATTCTTTTAAACCTTTTTATAGCAACACTAAAAGCATTAATTACCAAATAAAGGAATTTAATGGGTTACTTAAAGAATGGTTGTATAATCAGAATAAATTTTGCAAATTGAATGTTACACATTGGAAAAATTAACTCACAAAACTGATCTGAGTGATGCAATACATTATGCTAAACTCAAAGTAAAGAGACTATGGGGGGGAAAAAAAAGAAAATTCGGATGGGAAATACAAGCTGCCCTTATCCTATACATTTTTTTCTACTTGAATCTTTTATCCTCACAAAGGTTTTGGCTGCTATATTCTTTGGTCGTCAAGCTAACTTGTATGAAATTAAAACAAAGTAGTAGATTCATATGATAAACTCATAATCCCATGCCATGAGAGCAATACAACAATGCCTATATATCGAATTAGCCATCATTAAACAGCAAGTTGCATAAAACATGGATATGAGTCTTGTCTGAAAGTGATGCTTTCTTCTGAATTTCTGCAATTTAATTTAAAAGTTGAAGTATATATTAGCTGAAAAGTGTTTTGATAAACAAAAACATAAAGATACTAGTAATGAAAGGGAAAACAATTTATTAATACAAAATGCTTTTGTAATCTATGTCATAGTGATAGAGCTAAAAAATGAAAGGTACAAAATCAGGTAACAGAGCATTTTGGGATTGACTGATTTTTTTTTTTTTTTTATAGCTTATCAACCCTTTGTAGGTTATTTAAAGCTGAAACTTTTTTCAGGTTATAGATTGTTTATAGTACCACATGTTCCCAAGTGGAACCCAATCTAAGTACTGATCAGGCTTGACACTGCTTAATTTTGGTGATCAAATGAGAACCTTTCTTTTCAACATTGCATTTTGGTAACGCAAACAAGAAAAAAAATAAAGACATCAAGCATCGGAGAGAAAATATCAGATTCTTTTTGCATACCTTCTGCTAACCATTTTTTAAAAATTTAATGCTAAAGATATTGAATAAAGATAGTGGAGTGGTTTCCTGTTGCGTTCTCCACAGTTTAGAATTCAGAGCTTGTCCTCCTCTTATGGAGTCTGCCACCAAAGCATAGAAAGCCCAGTCTACCCACAGCTTGGCAGGGAAGGGAAATGGATTCATATTTTTCCCAAGAGAATGCAACAGATATTTGAACTTGGTTTGCCAATTTCAATTTCCTTGCCAATAACTATTACAATACTCACAAATAAATTGCCTTTCCTAAGTGAAATCAGGCTTTATTTCTTAAAATTTCCATTTATTTATTGACAAAGACTGAATTTGAGGCAAGGCAACAAACATAAAGCACTGAGTGATGATCAAACTAAAGTGATAATGTTTTGTAAGTCTGGCTTAAAAAATGTCATGAAGACAATCATATTATTCCAAAGTGAGGCACCTCCCCAACATCCCATGCTTGCTTATCTGTTACTTACCTTAAGTCCAGGGTTCTGAATTAATCGAGTGTTGTCTTTTAAAAAGGCAATGTAACCTTGCACCATTCTTCTTGTTTCTTCTTGGCTTAGGTGTTCAAATGGATTAATAAAACTGTTGGCTGCCAGGAACACAGTGCTGATGTCTAAAGATAGACAGAAAACAATCAATTATAAAATGTCATGGCAAAATTGAATAATTAAAATTGAATAAGAAAGAACACAAAGTAGATTGCTTTTCTATTCTTTTTAAATTATCAGTGCAGTTTTAACAGTTTATTCTAGATTATTCTCAGGCCTAGATAAAGGTAGTGTGGAGCCTCTAGTATAGGTTATAAAGGGGCACTAAATTTAAAAATATATATAAATGTGACACTATAAAGGGTTACTGGTAGTAGTTGAAAGGAATGTGACACTATTGTGACACTAGTGGTTTGGAATTAGGATTGAAAAGGTTCATGTAAAAATCCTGTATAGAATTGGAGCTTTGGAATAAAATTTATTGACAAGAAATTATTGTTTGGGAAAAGAAAGAAATTCTAAAGACAGAGAAAATTATTTGTCAATGTGGAATAAATTTTTATACACAAAAACGTAAAAAATAATTGTTGGGTAAGAAGAATGTGAAAACAAAGTTTATTGGTTTGGAATACCATGATTCCAAGGGTGGAGAAAATAATTAATTGGTGAATACATAATGAGCTTGGAGGGGTAGTAAGAGTTAGGTGCAAAGCATATAATCCAGACGATCAGTTGAAACCAACAATAGGAGCTGCTGTTGGAGAAGGCTGAAACAAATCAGCACCAGCAAGGAACCAAGTTGAACCCATGCGACCTGTCATCGAAGTCCCACCAACCTAACATTTTATGTGACTGTTTAACCTGTTCCAAGTTTTACCAGCAAGAAATACAGTGTCAAATGGGAAGGGTTAATTTTGCTGTATCAATGATTATATAAACTCACTGAAAATTAACCCAATGGCCTTCTTCATTATTTGTTTTGATATTTGTGCCTTCACCAGCAAAAGCATTCTTGTTCTTTTCCATAGCATGGTTCCACCAACTCAATTCAGTGCAGACAGTATTTAATCTTCACTCTACTGTGATCAAAGAACACAATGTGGGACAGAGCAAACGGAAGAACAAAGTGATCAACAAATAGTCATCGGTTGACCAGCGCCAGTACTGACCAGCATGGGAGAGACCAAGCTGGCCATGTTATATAAATATTAAATCATAAATTATTTAGTAATATAGTGATAAAGCTTATAAAACAGGTAAGTATTTAACATCTATTAACATGATAAACAAACCCAGAAAAACATGAAGGAAATTATTTTTTTTTAATCAATTCACTCCAAGTGAGACAATAATGCCACTAAAATGCAAGGGGTGAAAGTGAATGAAAAAGACTTGAGAAGGAACCAAATTAACAGCTTTGATATAATGTTACATTAAATGGCTAATAATTAAAGATGCAACTCCCCAGACATGTAAATATTAAATTTAATACAGTGTAAGATGCCAAGCTTGAAAGTATTTAATGCCCTCAAAAATGCACAGCCTGTGTAGCATTTTCTGTTTAGTTAATCTGACATAAGTCTTTCTCTTTAAAGTTTCCAAGTTCTAAGAGGACCCAAAACAATTTATTTGCAAGAAAAATATTACAGCTTTAAAAACATTAAAAACAAATTTTTTTTCCATGAACATTTTTCTGACCCAATTTATGCTATGTTACTAACTAAAAGGAGAATTAATTTTAGTACAGCTTTTGTGTAGCCAATGAAATATTTGTTACTTTAGGATTTCTTGATTAAAAAAAAAAACTAAAGATTTAGAATATAAACAATACTTACCCAATGTGGAAAGTTGTTTGAGGTGAACACACATATTATTTGTAGGGAGCAAGTCCAACCGATGGTAAACCAGTTCAGGGGTTAACACTAAAAAAAGAAGAATAAAACATAATTAAAAAAAGAAAAAAGAATTTATTTTATTAACCAGAAAATATATATTTTTTTTAGCCTCAGTTTAATAAATAGATTAAACACTATTATATATATAATCAGTTGAAAATTTTACTTTCATATCATGTATATTGTAATTGCCAAAACAATTTTTCCAGATGTTATTCTCAAGCAGACTATATTCTCATGCAACATCAATTATGATTCCTGCTCTCAGACAAGCAATACAGCTTTCATTTTTTCAGATCAACTGATGTACTAACAATAATTGTGCAAAGAATCAATTATGCTCTAGATAAAAACAGTAAAACCTAGGCTGTAGCTTTGGACATCATGAAAGACTTTGAAAGGGTCAGGCATTCAGGTCTTCTTCACAAGCTGAAAAGCTATGGTATCTCCAGGCTGGTCCAATCATTCCTATTAAATTGTGAAATGAAAGTTATCCTGAACTACCACTCATCTACATCCTTTCATACTAATGTAGATGTCCCCACAGGGCTCCATCCTTGATCCTACACTGTTTTTGATGACATCAGCTCTCAAATTGGCATCTACACTGACAACACAACAATTTACTCCTGCCTCAATAGTAAGGCTGATATTTCTCTCCTTTAATCATCTGAGAGACTCCTCTCTGCCTTCCATAAGCATGGCTGATGCTATACTCCAAGGAAGTGACACATTGCACCTACTGTTTGGACATTTTCAAAAGACACAAAAATAAAAAAAGACTACATTGAATCCATTGCTATATCAGCTGCTAAGAAAGTCAATTCACTGTGACGTGCAAAACAATTTTTCTCTCCAGAATCTATCTTGCATATCTATAAGTTTACCATTCATCTATGCTGAGAATATTGCTGCCATATATGGACCAGTGCCCTTGCAGTTTACCAGGAGCTCCTTGATAAGATACAAAAAAAAATCAGCAATATTATTAGTCCCAATCTGGCAGCTTGGCTTCAATCACTTACCCAATACCGTAAGGTTACCTCTCTGAGCTTTTTTTTATAAATACTTTCATGGTAATTATTCAGATGAGCTCGTTGATTTGGGACCTAGACTGTATGAATTTACGCACAATACTAGGCTGGCAGTGAGATGTCATCAATTTTCAGTTGATCTAGCTAGATTTAGCTAGAACTTCTATGTTAACAGTTTCTTATCTTGCACTTCTCACTTGTGGAATTCCCTCTCAGCTCTATATTTTCCAACTAACTTTAATCTGCATAAATTTAAATACAATGTCAATCACTATCTACTGTCCTTCTGATTGGTCATTTCTCTTTCTCCTCATTACTAATGTTTCTGTTCCTAATTTCTCCACACTGTAAACCCCTGCGTTCTAGTCACTGTACTGCCTTGCTTGAGGTGATACAAAAAAAAAAAAAAAATGTAAAAAAATTAACATGCTTGAAGAAAGTAATATAATTATTTATCCAAATAAATACACTATAAACCTGTAATGAATACCACCCATCAAAGCTTATTGTATTCTATAAATCACATATACTAATTTTATGCACCTACTTGTATATAAAAAAAATTTTAAAAATTGGCCTGGGTTGCTTATGATCTAATAAAAGTTTAACCAAATTATATAAAGAAATTAATTGTACAAGACCTGAATTACTAAATCAGTGATAACAAAATGAAGTCAGTTTTAAAGGATTTTAGTGGGAGGGGGGTGTTAAATTAAAAAATGATGAAACATACCATGAAGCTTTTTCATCTGTCGCTTCTCTTTCTTGTCTGTCCGTGTTTTTATTATCACTATATAAGGTACTTTATCAATCTGTAAAATAGTAAAATGATAAAGTAAATCTACTGCATTATAGAGAAATAATTAAAAATTAGTTTAAAAAAAAAAAACAACTAATTTTTACCAATTCATTAACAGTAATGATTCTTCAAAGTGTTATAAATCAGTACAATTATAATTATATAACAATAATAAAAATCACTTAACAGGGAATATAAACACTGTTTCCACAAGGTTATATTTTCAACATTTCATACAATGACTATACAGTAGGCATCTGTCAGTCAGTGACTATATAGATTAGATAATCCCTGTTGCAGATGAACTGCTCAGGCACATTTGTATTTTTTAAACACCAATCTGCAGTTTATACTGCAACTATCCTGAGTGGATCTTAGTTTCAGTTTCTGGGAGAGAGCACACAATTTGGCATGATCAACAGTTTAAACAGGGGATGTGCCTTGGTCACAATAATTTGTGACTTGTGCAAGCACAACCATTGATAACTTCCGAATAATTGTCTACCCAATTCCACTCACAAAGCTTGGGTCAACTCTGTAGTTTAGTTTTTAAGCATTTCTCAGTGGTGCCACTATTGGTGATATTATAAAGAAGTCATCTTAACAAATCAACCAATGTGAGATTCAAACACAGGCTTACTGGTCAGAAAGTTAACATTCAATCTCAGATGGCTGTGTGTGTGTGTGTGTGAGAGAGAGATAGATAGAGATGTACATTGTTACCTTTCTCCAACTGTATGTGACAAAAGATTTGCCACCCACTTCTGAATGGCTTGCACTTGAATCTGTCTTGTTTACTGGAGTGAGATGAGCAATTTCTGTACCTTGTTCTTTTCTGTAGGGGAAAAAAAGTAAATTGGTAATGAGAAGAAAATAATTGCAAAACTGGAAAAGGTATTCTCAAAAATTTCAATAAACATTCCCAGTAAAAACCAGAATTATTCTTTTAGTCGCAAATAAATGTCTGCAACTAGAACTACTCAATCAATTTCATGAAGTTTACTCTGAAGCTTAACGTTCTATTATATATATTTTGTCTTCCCTACATTTATTTCAATACACCCTGGCCTTGCCTAGCTTTCAAAATAGCTAAAATTAATTTAATCATGTGAGTCCACTCTACTTTGTATCAATTGATTTAAAAAAGATGCCAGAAATCTTTAGTTTTGTCCAAGAAGATTGATTCTATCAGAATTGTTGCTTCCAAACAATTAAAAAAAAAAAAATAGTTATAGTTTATTTTTATAAAAATTTACAAAAATATTAAGTAAACAAATACAGCACCAAAAATAAATAACAATTTGATTTTTACAATTTTTCTTTTCAAATTTCTGGGAAAAAATCTTTTTTTATCAAAATGCTGTATTAATTTACATAATTACTAAATGTAATTTTTTTTCTAATCAAGAACTTTTTTTTAAATGTCAGCTTCATTATTTATTCCTAATAGGATCTTTCTTAAAGTTATTCATATCAAGTGAACAAGAATTATTACATTTTTCATGCAGCTTCCACCACCCTTCAGTACTAGTTCTTTAGAAATGAATATATGCCTACATAGACACCTGCAATTAGGAAATTTCTATTTTTTGGTAGCCTCGCATAAAATGATGTCCTTTTTGCAGTTTGGCCAGAAATAAAATTTTTCTCTCCAGAATTTATATAGATAAATTCTATGTAAGTCTACCATTCATTCATGCTTAGAATACTGCTGCTATATATGAACTGGTGCCCCTTAATAAAATCCAAAGAAGAATCAGCAATATTATTGGTTCTGATCTGGCAGCTCAGCTTCAGTCACTTTCCCACCATCATAAGGTTGCCTCTCTATGTCCTTTCTATAAATACTTTCATGGTAATTGTTTGGATGAGCTCTTCTCTATGGTACCTAGACTTTATGAATTTAAGTACAGTACTAGACTGACATCTAGATCTCATCAATTTACAGTTGAGCTGGCTAGATATTGCCGAAAATTCTATGCTAACAGTTTCTTTTCTCACACTTTTCGCTTGTGGAACTCCCTTCCAGCCAACCTTAATCTGCAAAAATTTAAATGCAATGTCAATCACTATCTATTTTCCTCTTAATTACTCTCTTTTCTTTCTGCTCATCATTATTGTTTCTGTTCTTAATTCTCCCACACCCTGTAACCGCCCCCCCTTGTGTTTTAGTGGCCTTACTGCCTTGCATGGGGTGATACCAATTAAAAAAAAATTAATTAATCTGTAGCAAACTCTGATCCCATATTCATCCTTGAGTTAGTTACCCTTACAAACTAATTTTCAGACCTCAGGGACTAATTGCTTGGTTGGCCATAAGAAGCACACAAGGAAACAATTAGCAGTTTCATAGTAACAGATTAAGAAATAATGTAAATAGATTTCAAAGAAAAAACTTAGAACAGATGAGAAAAAACACAAAAAAAAAACAAAGATGTATGTACATGCTGATGGAAAATAAACAATAAAAAAAATAAGCTGCTATATAAAAAAGATTGAAAATGGGAAAAATCTTCCTTTTAGTTTGCAGCATAGGCTTTTAACGAAATACAAAAACATTTATCACCAGACTGTCTGGCCACATGTGATATAATCAAGTCACTTTCATGAATAAAAGATTGTTCCTTGCATAAATTCTGAATTTCATAATCTGACAGTTTGAAAATAAATATAAAACTGTATTGAATCATAAGTATCCACTTACTGTAAAATAGCTGCCCGTATACGTTGAAAATCTGGCACATTTTCAAAATGTTTTATGTCTGTATGCATTGGCTGCAGTCGGGTTTTGATTGGTCGACTGAAAGAAGGATGCATGATTGTGTAACCTAGAAAAGAAAATATTTGATTATTAACAAATATATCCAAGCAAATCAAAAATCACTACTTAAATGTAACATATTTATTTATACAATTGGTTATATAATTTTTCTTTATTCTTGAGAATTTACAACAAAAATATTCAACACTATTTATCTATTAGATTGTTTATTTACAAGAATAATTTTATTTATGCATTCTTAAAAACTAATACAATGTAATATTTATCATTTACCAATTTAAAAAGAAATAAATATGAAAACAATTTTTTATTCATAAATTTATAAACATTTACTAAATTATAAAAATATATATGAATCAACTATAATGAAATCATTATTATTTACCATTTTATAAAGTTTGAATCAATTGGCCATTAGCCGATGTTTTGCCAACCATTCCAATAAACAATTTAATAAATAAATAGTGCAAATAAACAGTCTAATAAATAAAAAGTGTTTAATATTTTTATTGTAAATTCTCAAAAACAAAGAAAATGTATAAATTCACTTTCATAATATGTCTAACTTTTATTAAAATCCTAATCATTGCTTTTTAAAACAATAAACATTTCCATGGAGTGAAGGTAGTTAAAATAATAGCAGTATAAATGAAAAAAACGTACTTTTAACACACCATTATTTTTTTTTATTTTTTATTTTTTTTTTTTTTTGCAGGTATGGGAGTTAAAGACTGCCAAAATTTTAATCATTTAGCATTATTAAAATGAAATCTGACGTAAAGCCATTAAAAATTAGATCCTGCAAGAATAGGTGAATGGCAAGAACCAAGGGAGGTAATTTGTTACACACCATCTGTGTTGATGATAAATGCATAAGAGTCTTCCTCTTGATTGAAGTAGGTGATATCCTGAGCAATGTCTTCCATGTGAAGGTCCACTCCAACCACACCAATCAAATCTCCTTCATGGATACACGCCTGACTGATGCTCATAGTCAATGCTGAAATAGAATTATTATATTTTAAAATCAAACACCAATACATGCAATTCAAATCTGCCTCTTAATAATACTGAGGTAATTTAGACTTTTTTTTGTCATTGATGGCTTTTTAGTTATTCAACTACGTGGGAAATATAGCACTGATCTGTAGAACATTTTGGGACATGGGAATGACAGAAAACAATTCAAAATGGTTCATATTTTCAACTTTTAGGATTTGACTATAAACAAGTTTTTTCTATATCAATATGCTTATTTGGAAGTCTGTTGTGAAGTATTGGCTAACAAGCTCACCTCAGAGATCACTACTGTAATCAAATCTTTTGCCATACCCAGTGAGGATCTTAGTTTTATAAATACCTATATTGTCTTTATATGTATAAAATGTTAATAGTTTATTATAGTGCTCAAAAGGAAATAATATTTTGCCTCTATATGAAGTAATTACTAACAAACCCGCCATTATTATTCCAAAAGTTGTTTAGACAATGGCATTCATTCCATTTCTTGCTGTTATACATTTTGGTCAATCCATTCTTTGGTCTTCTTCAGATTCAGATTTTTTTTTCTGCTCTAGTAAATAGTAACAAACAGAAAAGAAATGGTGGCAGATGTACTGATCAGAGCAATTAACAGCAATGCATGTAACCCAGGCAATATTTTTATATGCAGAGTTGCTCTCCAATACTTTCTCTGATAAGTAATCCACACTTACTTGAATAAAAAACCTTTCTCCAAGCTTGTGTACAACAGAGCTTCTTTCAGTTTTCTCATCTAGTAATATTTCCTATCTATTGCTTGAATCACACAGCCCTCTTTCAGTTGTTTTATTCCTTCTTCCTCCATATATGATCTGCCATACCCAAACTTTCCATATCACTTTTGGATATGATTTTCCTATGATACTAGAGCCTGGCTTTCATAGATTGTTTTTTTTCCTCCCTTAAACCCTCCACATTGGCATGAGAAGTTAAAAATAGCAACCTTCTATGAACTATTTATATTATGAGAGACTAATTAATTGCACAGACTATGAGAATCCTCACTGGGTGCCTCAAATTTGTGGCTTTGTGCTATAAGCTAATCTTAGGACAGCAAAAAGAAGTGACTTATAGAATAATGGTATGCAAGTTAGTTTTATATTAGGATTCCAAACTAGTTTTGATCCTCAGTCGGTGTACCATACTAATGGCAAAGAAAAGCTTAGTAAATATCAGTATTTTGTCTGTTTTGTAGGAAGAAACTGAGAGAATTAGGTGTTCCAAAAGACAAAAACATTTCACATAGCCTGACAAAGTATATCAACCCTTTCTCCAATGACTAACCATGAGTTCACAGGAAACCTCATTACAAAAAAAATCAAACATTGTTTAATTTTTTACAGTTACAATAAAAAGCAGTTTCTAAGAAGTCATATTAGATCACTGTGTAGATAAACAATAAAACAAACATGGGATTGAAGCTGAAAGTCTAAATTCTGCGCAGGTGAGAAGAAGCCAGCATTCATTGGATAAACAAATAGATGCTAGTCCAGTTCATACAAACATAAGTGGCTCAAATCCGTTCTACTGATACCATTTAAATTTAAAAAGATTTTTCATATTCTATGCCAACTGCAGTCAATGATTACTTCTATATGAATATATAGGTATAATAATATACAGAGTTAAGACACAAATTAAGGTTTATAGTTAACGATGACTAAGTAGAAGGCACAGAGATGTGTCAGTGGACAGGATAAATAGAACAGATAAGAAGCACATACACAATATGTATGTATGCTAAACTCTTTAGACTTTTCTGCAGATTAAATGGGCCACAGCCTCACTACACTAGTTGTTGCTGTTGTGGTTTCCATAACAAGTGGATTTTTACGGGGATAGAAATACTAGTCCCACACACACTGATTTTGGATTCAGAGTTATCCTTCTCTTGGATTGGTTGCCAACAAAAGCTAGAGTGCTCAGTCTACTTTTTTGTTTAGCCCTAGCTGGAAGGAGGAGGAGAGATGAATCAATAAGTTTCCAAGAGCATTTGTTTGAAAGCAAATACTATGACCTCAACTGAAATTAGAACCAGAAATGCCAATCCCACTTTCACTAACCACTAAACATGCACATCCTTTCATTTATACAATAGGATTTGAAATTTATATTTAAGAATTTACATCAAGGTACAATATGAATTACTTACAATACAAAATGATAATCATATCATAATATGTGGGAGCCTAAAATTACATATGTTTAATATTCTGACAGAAATGGAAAAAGTGCCAATAAAACATCCTTATCAAAACTAACCTGCAATTTATGATTTTAGAAGAGGTGAAGAAAGATAAAGACCATTGCAAAACACTTACCTTTGTCAGCTTCATCTGTATATGGCAAAGAGAAAACAGGCAGGTACTTGTCTGACTGGTTGAGGGGCAGGTAGAATTTGCCGACAGTGGAACTGAGATCTTTCGTTTTGTTAATGGCCACCATCATCCCTCGCTGAATACACAACAAGAAAATAACTTTAATATAACAGGGAATAATAAAATATTATCGTACAATTTTAACTACTTTTTAGGATCTGTTTATTTTTCTTTTAATAGAGTAAAGAGTTGCTTATTTCCATGAATTTACATCACTTTATTTTGTTGTTTTGATCCCAAGATTCTGGACAATATAATTTCCTAATTTTGTCAAGTGTACATTGTATCTGACCTTTATCTCCAAAGTGTTGTAGATAAACTTTCTTATGTTGTTCACTAACTTTTGTTACCACTGCAATTGAAACAATTCTTACATCTGAATGATCAAAAATTATTTTATACTTAAAAAAAAAACAAAAGAAGGTAAAGGATTTTGTCTTAAAGATTACTGATATAACATACATCTGCAGACAGAAAGAGAATACATCAACCTAGATTGAAAGAATCAAAACATGAAATAATTATAAATAATATCTAATTTTCAAACATTGTGCCGAATACAAGAGCCACCATGAATAGGAATACCAGTGGTAATTTTTCAATTTATAAAATAAGCATATCATTTCAAATAATTGTTCCATCGGGAAATTTTATATAAGTATAATAAACATGCTAGTTCTGCTAATATTGCCAAAAATCTTTTGAAGAATAATAAGTGTGCCATATCAAATAAGCACTGGAAGGAAAATTGAAGAAAATAATTTAATCATCCTAATATTTGTATTTGCTATACAAGAGTACAAGTAAAGTTGGAAACAGTTTTCTTTTTAATTAAAAGGTTAGCATAAGTTGTTTGTTTTTTATTGGTATAGTTTAATTAAAAAAGATATGATACAGATAAGAATGAAGTAATTAAAAGTGAAAACTTTCTCAGCTTTTCTGCACTGAGAGTCAATTTTTGAGGTGAAAAACAAAATCTTAATTTTGAAGAAAAATGACAACTTCAGTACAAATTGAAACAATAATGATAAAATTGGTTCACTCACTTCTGCATACATATAAAATATACAATGAATAGAAATCTGATTAAATATATTGACATAAGTTCTTACCAAAACTGAAGATGAATTAGCAAATGGAATATCATATTTGCCATAATTCTGGTCAGCAATGTCTTGTAGAAAGGTCTTTTCATACATTATTGGCTTGGCATCTGAAATCAAAAAAAAAATAAATAAATAATTTAAATTATTTGCTTAATTCATAAAACACTTGTAAATTTTCAAATGCCATGTTTATCTAAATGATTTCTTGTATTTTTGACTAATAAGTCTATTTATGCAAGCTAAATTAAATAATTGTTTCGATTATAAATATTTGTTTCTTGTATCTTTGTGAAAAAAGAAAAAAAAAGTAATCTTTAATTATTAATTTTAATCTGAATGCATTAAATATATTGAGCAGGAGGCTCAGAAAAACTTTTGCTCACCTTGTAAAATATTCTAGCACTAATTTTTTGTTATAATTTCATGGGTCAAAATATTTTCATAAATAATAATATTGCCTTTAATTTGGTTGAAGTATATTTTTTCCTCTTGAAATACTCTCCTTGAATTAATTTATCAGGTGATTAAGATAAAGGAATGAACAAGAGTTAACTCCCTTGCATTCGCGTATAAAAAATTAATGCGAACACATTTTTTTTATATGTTTTGTTGTATAGGTTTTGTTTGCCATAATAACTAGTTTGTTTTCTGCTTAAGGAAATATAGAGAGAGCGAGACACACACAGAAAATAGAACTTTGACTAAATTACAATTCATAAATTAGTAGATGATATTTTCAAAGAAAATTTGAATATAACTTGTTCACTTGCCTAAAGGAATAATATTTTTTAAAAATACATTCCTATAAATGCAAACTGGAAATGATGCAACTTCTTTTGTCATAAATTTATTCTGTTGTGAATAAACTTAACATTTTAATCCAGTAATAAAAAAAATTCTTCCAATACAATGTGTGTCAAGATCTACCTTGTTGCTGAAACAGTTACATGATTGTCATCAGTGCTAGAGGTCAATATTTGAGTCCATATAAAAGCGAGGATTTTGAATGCTGATTTTCTAAGCAAACAGGCTCTATACATTTGCAAGACTGATGTCTTTATTTGGCTCAAGCAAATCAAAGCTTAGCGAATATCACTGCAAGTTAGAACAAAAGGAGATATGTGAAGCTCTTACCGTCAATCACGGCGTAAGTGTTGATGATTACATTGAAATGCAACTTGTTGTTGTGGTATGCAATGGTATCCAACACATCCCTGGCTTCCGCTAAAGACGATAACAAACCACGACTAATGTACATGATCATCACACGGTCATCTTTTTCTATATGGAGACAAAAAGAAAAAGAATCAAGTTATTGTAATACTGAAAAAAAAAAATGAATAACAATTAAAATGTACAATAAAAATCATAAAAACATTCAACAGGAAACAATTGTGATTTTTCAACACCCACATACTGCAAATATGCTGAGTAGATATTAGTTACAGGTTCTGGGAGAGAACACATAAATTGGTATTATCAGTAGTTGAACAGGCCAATACATATGAAACCCTCAGTCATGATGACTTTTACTATCAAAACCATCAATGGCTTCCAAACAGTTTCACCTACCCAATTTTACTTGCATAGCTTGGGTCAAGCCATGGCATAGTTTTCTTGGACTTCCCAGTGGTGCCACACACTAGATTCATCTCCCTAGGCTGATATTGCCAAGAAGTCACCCACTTGACAAATTGACCATGGTGTGATTCAAACCTGAGTCTCATGGATGAAATGCTAACATTCTAATCATTTGGCCACATGCCCAAATCTATACACACACACACACACACACACACACTAGTGGAAGTATATATGGATCATTTATGAAATTATTACTTAAGCTTGTAAAATAGTTCCACATAGCTTCTATATCAAGGTGAAACAAAAATGTTTAACTAAAAAATACCTATTTTATAACCTTTGTTGTTTTAGGAAAATCTATGACAAGAATTTAAAAAAAAATTTTATGTAACATATTTCGTCCTTTAGGACATCAACAGACTAAAGCAATGTCTAAGTAAATGGAGAGGGGATGCTGAAATTTAATTTTTGTTTTTTAGTATGTTTTGCATATATAGCTTAGCCAATTTCATTTAGTTCCTTTTTGTTTATGTTTTAAAATTGTTCTTGATATATAAAAATTCATTTATCATTTTCCCAAATGTCATCAAATAAAATTTGGTTATTGCCATTATTCATATTTGTCAAAGTTCATTTTCAGTGACTCCAGTTATTTGGGTGGACAATGTAACTATGTAAAGATATACAGCTATTAGTATCTAAAAAGAAAAACAAAATAAACTTCACTTGTTCCTGGTATGTTTCCAATGAAGAAATATGAAAAATAAAAAATATATTTGGGAGGAAAATTGGTCGGTGAAAGTGATTTTTTTTTCTCTTTACATTAATATATTCAACATATCATACTGAGTGGTTAGAAACAGTATTTCTTGGTGTTAAATTTATATAATAGAAAAGAGATAAACTCCCCATTTTTCCCATGAGAGAACAAACATTTTTTTGACATTAAAGATTTTCCTAAAGTCTAATAAGCATACATACCAAATCTGAAGATTGTACATGAAATAGTTTGGTTGTGTAGAGTAAAAAGGAAACTTATAAACATCAGGAAGAGGCAGTTAAAATTTCTGGGGCAGGTAATGAGGAAAGAGGGCTTGGAAAATCTGATACTCTCAGAACAGATTGAGGGAAAGAGGGACTAAAGAAAACAGCATGTAACATACTTGATGAGCTTAAGTAAATGGATGGTAGAACAGGGTTTGGGAGAAATAACAAAAAGACAAAATTAATTAACAGCTACAAAGGACAGGAAGATGTTGGTCTTTGTCCTAAAGGGACATGGTACATAAGAAGAGTAAACTCTTACCAATTTCAAACACGCACGCGCGTGTGTGTGTGATAAAAATTTAGTTTTAAGGTATTCGATTATATCTTCCAAATTGGAGAATGTTTTATTGCATATGAAAAACTCAAAATGATATCAGGTGAATATGGAGAATGTCAAAATTTCATAATTCAGGCTATGCAGCTTTTAGACAGTTGATTGAGAAGCCTGTGTCCATGTGTTGTTGTGTAACAACATTGGGCCATCCCTATTCGCAAGTCAAGGATGTTTCTTTTACAATTTTTCATGCCTACACTCAATTTTTCTACAATACGAGGTTGCTGTTATTGTTTTCCCTTGAGGCAAGAATGAATAAACCCTTTTAAAGACCACCATACAGTAACCCTTAAATTTTTAGGGTGC